CCACCCCACCCCGACTCAGACAGCCTCTGTGTCAACCGAATCCTCTCCACAGCCATGCAGGGACTCCACCTGAGCAAGGTTTGCTGATGGGGAGGGAAGGGCTAACCCTCCCCTTCCAGGGCTGCCAAAGATCACTCAGATATCCCTAGAATTAATTATTCTTCACAATTCACAATTCAGTTATGATCTACATTTAATGTATTTCTACTGCTTTGGTTCCATCTTTCTGCCCCTCGGGATGCAGAAGCCACCAAAGTAGTTAAAAAGGGAAGGTGGTTTTGGGGTAACGTGACATGGCATAAAAAGGGAGGCCTCCAGCAGGCAAGTGGTGAGTGGAGAGAGGAAACCCAGTCGCCCTGAGCCCACTGGAGGCTTTGAGGAAGGGGAGCAGGTGAATCTGGGCAGCCTGGGGGGCCGGGAAAATTGGGGCAGGAATGTCAACCCTCCCTGGCTGTGCAAAGCCCACAAGGAACCTAAAGGTGGGACTGGGATCCAGAGGCGATGCTGGCTTGGGAATCGAACAGAGCCTGGATACAGACCCAGCCAGGATAACTCTGCTCGAGGCCCTGCTGGCCTTCAGGCATGCACCAAATCCAGCAGATGGAAAAGAGAGAAACGTAGTCTACATCTACTTTATTCAAGTTGGGATCTAGATTTTGGAATAAAATGGGGATATGCCATATTTCTTTCTCTGCCACCTGCTGCCATTCAGAAAATACTGTGAACCAAAGAAAAAAATCTGGTGTTTGAAAGACACTCCTACACGCTGGATGGGCACGCAAGGGCAGATACGTTTCTGACAGAATTAAGACAGAGCGCGCCGCCGTTAAGACTGTGAAACTGGGGACTCAGAAGGCCGGAGGCTACACAACAAAACTGTTCAGGGTCACCGATAGCAGACTGAAGGAAAAACTTCTGGAAATGCAAGCTCACATTCAGCCAGGCCATGGTTTCCTGCAGGCCAAAACCGTGAGCTCAGCTACAAGCCTTCTGGAGGGACCTGCTGGACTTTCCTCTCCACGCTGGGGTGAGGGAAACCTCCTGCTGAGGCCTCCGCCAACCTGGCAGGACGAGCTGCCAGTAATTCCAAGGTTCCAGATGCACGAGGTGCAGGCAAATGCACCAGTCTAGAACATGTCTAACTTAGGGTGTTACATGTGTGGTTTTTGTGGCTCAGCAACAGAATGGCATGAAGACATCAGAACTGGAGACCATCTTCCAGCTGGACCATCTGCTGGGCATGCATCGCACCAGAGAGTGCTGCTCTGTTTGGGGGCTGGGGAAGGCCACCAAGACCCTGCCAGTTACCTCCGGCAGGCCACCGTGAAGTTACAAGGAGAGGTGCCCATCAGGCATCTTCTTCCACCACAGATCTTAGCTCGCCACACCCAGTGACAAGGAGCCACTGTCGCTGCCCCGGGTTTCTTCTTTGGATACTAG